ATAAAAGAGGGAGGGGGAAATTTTTACACAAACCTACAAGTGATGCTCAACCTACACTCCGATGCGACGACCAGTAATGTGGAGCTCTCTCCACGCAGGGACGCCCTTGGCGGCACCCCGTGTCCTCAACCCACCCCGGACGACCCAGTGGCGACAACTACTGGATGGGTTCAGGACACGATAGGGTTCGAGTACATGCCGAGGTTCCCGCCGTCAGAAGCCATGGACAAGTCCGAACGTGCCGCGTGGGTAGCAGCGCTCAATAGCAGCGCCTGGCCCAAGGCCGACATTACCGACGAAGAGCGGTTTGAGGACTGGCTAGATGCGGTAGCGGGTCTAGTGAGGGAGACCTCATACAATATGGACGAGACGGTGATGGTACAGCTGCTGTGGGCGCGCATCCCTTCCGCGAAGCAAATCAGCCTCATGGGAGTGTCCCGACGGCCCGGAGTGCGAGTGGAAGATTTCGTGTCCGAGGTCGCAAGGAAGTTGTTCCCGTCCAGTAATTACGTAGCGAAAGCCTACTACGAGGCGATAACCATAGAGAATGGGGACTTCCAAAACCTGGCGGAGTTGCTCAACCAGAGAATCACACGTTACGTGCGGTTGGCCCACCGCTGGGGTGCAGTCGAAAGCTTCAGTCGGAAGTTTCTAGAGAGACGAATTCTCGATGTGGCGTCCCCTCAGTGGAGGCAGTGGTTCGCTAGCAAGGAAGCCGGCGGTACCCTGTTTGAGATACTACACGACCTAACCGACCGCTGTGGCTGGAAGGGTACCGCGGTGCTAGCCGTCGGGTCCAGGAATGAGGAGGCGCAGGACGACTCGGATGACGAACAAGATATACTCTCACCCCAGCAGGTCGAGGCGAGGCACCTGTGCCACTACTGCGGGTTTCCGAGGCACGCCAGGGACGAGTACTGTCCAGCCAGGGGCACGCGCTGTCACAACTGCGGCAAGGTAGGACACTGGAGAGGAGTCTGTAGAACCACCTACTACCGAGATGTGTACGGGAAGCCCTCGCACTCGGTAACACAGACGGCGCCAGGACGCCTGCAGGTAAAGGTAGGTGGGGATACGACGCGAGGCGACAAGCTCCAAACAGCGAGCAGAATCATCCGAGACGAACGGACTCGGTACGACGAGAAGCGCCACAAGGATGCCGCTCGGCGAAAGAGGGACACGGACAGGCCGACGGAAATGCAAGTGGATAGTGGCGCGACGGAGGAACACTCAGCTGCCCTCGCCACCCAAATAGGAGAGTTGCAGGCCGCTGTACTCAAGATTGCCGCACGGATGGACGATGCGGAGAACCGCCCTTTTCAGTAAAGGCCCGGGTGAATGATACCCCACTACAGTTCTTGGTAGATACTGGGGCCGATATTAGTATACTGAGAGAGGAAGATAGAGAGCGAACGGGCGTGCCGCTGTCGAGGCGGAGCGTGCAAATCGATACGGTACTAGGGTCAGGCACCTTGCCCTTAACAGTACCCGCAGAAACGCGCATCGACGAAAGGACCAAGAAGGTCACCTTTGCGGTAATGCCGCCCAATGAGTTACCGAACATCCTGGGCACGAGGGATA